AGCTGTCCCAGCTGTGTCCCCTCCCAGGTTCTTGTGTACCCCCAGCATACTCGCTAGCAGGACAGCATAAGAAACACAAAAGGCCTTGTAGCTGTGTAAGTATTCCTCAGAAATATCTAAAACATCAGTGGATTATCAACAATGTTTTGGTCACCAATCCAAAACATAGCACCATATAAGCTACTACAGAGAAAATGAACTCTAGCCCAGCCAAAACCAGCACATCAGTGTAAAGAAATCCTATTTACTTCATCTATAGAAAGTATGATCAATTTAAAAAATAATAATAATAAAAGAATACAAAGCAAATACTATCAGTAAAGTTGAAACAAGAGAATGAGAGTAGCACCATATGCAGCTTCAGTCTCATACAATACCTAAGAAACCTTGAAGGAAGAGAAAATGTGCCATTAAATTTCCATCCAGATTTTGGCTCCTTTTTTGCTTTTAAAGATGTAACCTCAAATTCTAAGTAAGTCATCTATAGACTTCTCATATATATTTTTAGTATATACTGTACTACTATAGGGTACAATTGCACTAGTTACCAAATACAGTGGTAGTGTATCTTAAAGTAGATCCAGAAAGATGGAGAAAGACTGACTTTGCATATAGAACTTCTGGAGATTTATATATTTGTGCTTAGTGTTCTTTTATACATAAGTATATTGCCACAAAAGAATGTTTTCTCCTCAAGAATGCATTACACGGGAGAGAGAAAAAATCCTTTTTGTTTCTATAGCAAATGCTTTCTTGCTTCTTTTGTTCTAACTTTTGCCTCAGTTCTACAGAAACAAGTTAGCTGAAGTCAACTTGTACAAAACCTCACTAAATGAAAGTGGAGGAGCAGGATGTATATTCCTGATTTGGCTTCCACTGGTGTGTCTTACTTTCAGCTGGGACATCAGGAACAGTCAAGGGCTTATACTTGCTCATTTGTCAAATGAAAGAAACTGAAGTTTCTGAGGCAAGACTTGCAAATGCTCACACAGCACGAAATTAAATACTATCATCCTTTTCCCATGACCTTTAGGAGAGTTGACCTTAATACATTTCAGGCAATCTGGCAGGATCAACAGTGGAACAAAGTGTGTTTTTACAAATTTGGGTTAAGATTCATTGGCAGGAGTCCACAGCATGAAACTCACCTAACTTTTGCAGTGGCAGAACTGTCTTGTACTGCTAAAGCCAAATAATTCTGTAAGTGTGTTAGCTTCAGTGGCTTTTGTATGGGAATGTTTCTGAAGCCAAGAAGTCTGTAGCCACTTCAGAAGCCCAGAGGAAATGACAGGCAGAGACTGAGATCTAAATCGGAAACCTTGACACAGTCACATTTCATAAAAATGGGTTAAAAGCACGACAAATTTCAGAACTTTAAAATTCTCATAAATTGTGTTTGCCCTCCTGTGGACATTTATTCATTCAGGAGGGCAGAATGTGTCATTTCCTTTCTAAGGATGAGAAAAGCAAGGTCAGTTTACTGACCCTGAAGAAAAGCGAGAGATGTCAGGCTCCAGTTCTATGATCTGAAACATCTTGTCAATACAGCCCCTGGGGCCACCCTTTTTTAGCAAGTCTTGTGTCCTGTGAGTCTGTCTGAAGCTGTCGCTTTGACAGGCAGCGGTGCCTGCAGTGGCCTTGCACAACCCTGGGCAATACCTTTTCGTACTCTGTGACTACCTTCATGAACTGTTAAAACCCAGCTGCCTTAATCCTACACTTCAGTGGTTATTTCTCAGTCAGACTATGCAATTAATTCTTCCCCTCAAACCAATACAGCTACTTCCTAACAAAATGTTGGGGTTACCTTTTAGTATACAATTCCAGTGCGTTAAATTGTCTGCTATTTTAATGTTCAGAGAAAAATTATGAGGTTGGTAAATCCTGAACAATTACTTTCCAAAGCAAGAAGGCAACACCACAGACAAAAACACACACCTTAGAGGAGAGTACAGCTGCTAAGCAAGCCTGTGTAAAACAATATCATTGTTTATATTGGATTGTGTGCCTGCCCTACAAGCTGTAGCACAAGAGCCTGACTGATGCAGCAGCAAAGTGTGTATTTTCTCCTCCAGCCATGTTCTTCAACTACTAACTGAAATTTTTTAAACTTGAAGACCCAATTATTGCTATCACTGCATTGGTTTGTACATGATGGTACCTGTATGAATGATTCTATGTTTATATTGCATAAAGCAGGAGGGTGAGGATTGCAGTTTTAATGTCTACTAAAATAACTTTTTTACAGCCCTAATTTTGATCCCAATTCCCAGGCCAATTAGCATGGTGGCATTGGATGGATAAAGGGGAATGATGGGATGAAATGTTCAGCTCGGTCCTCTTGAGCTAGTTGCTTGGTCATAACTGGGCAAAATGACTTTTCACAGTGTCTCACACTAAGAAAGAAGGCAGCGCTTCTCATTTTCCCTCTCCCTCACATGAGGGGAATGCACAAATATGAGATGATTGAAGCAAGAGAGAAAACTCAGTCACAGTTTTTTCCTTTGTCTTCTTGCAGTTGTACAGGTACCTTTAATCCCTATGGCCAGGCTGAAATCCTGTTTCATATGCAGTTGACCCACAACTTGTTGAACTGAAATAAGTAGAATAATACACAAAGTGAACTATTCCTCAGCATTATTCAAATAGTCTGCCTCTTCAGCTCTCCATCTATTTTAAAAGCCCATTGCCCTTGTAGGAAATCTGTTGCTGGATTCAGATGAGTGGTTTCAGATATTTTATTTTCTAATGGTGTTCTGCAGATTAAACTACCTATCTTTGGGAAATTCCCACCCTGCATTTACTGCATTTCCACTCCTGTTCAATTTGAGAAGAAATGAAAACTATGGTAAGAAACAGTCATATGAGGGAAGAATATCTTCAGACTCCCCAGTAATGAGCTGCTTTTATTTTGTTGCTTAATCATAGGTTGTATAATGGTGTATGTAAAATGAAGATCGGCCTAATACCATTCATATAACTGGCAATTATTCAGGCCCTTTAAAGTTCTCCCTGCCTTTCATCTTGCCTAGAAGGAAAAAAACATACTATCAGAGGACATCTGGAACATGTGTCTTCCTTGCAAACATCCTGCCTGCTGCATAAAGATCCATGGTGCTTATTCATACATTTGTCAATCAGCTTCTTAGCCAGAGTCTTTTTATCGCACCACCCCTCACTGTTTCCCCCTATGCAAAATGTATAAAAAAGTCAGGTGCTGATAACTCCTAATGGCCCTGCAATCCCTGCTCTGCAGACAAAGAAGCTTTCAAAACAATCTGTACTGGGGGAACTCAAATGAGTTTTAGAAGGACCTGCTAAAAGAAAAAAAGTAAATAGATACTTGCATTGGACAGGAACCAGCAAGACATTTGTTTGAAAATGCTAATTAACCAGCTAGACAATGGGGCTACTAAAATGATATCCAGACTCATGCATGTTAGTATTAAACGGGAATTTCTGCTCAAACCAAGTTAAATACTAAACGTACACTTGAAAACTTCAGAACTGCTCTAGAACCCATAATTAAACACTTTTACTTCTAAATTTATCCTGAAGAAGCTCTCTTGTTCTAATAAGGAATTACTCTATCATTTATCTTTCACAGTTTTATTTGCACAGTTTATTATACTGGTGGTTAAATGGATGTCTAAAATGACAGCTCATCCTTTTACTTGTGAAAATTGAAAAGTAACAGCAAAAGGCATGATTTTAAGGTGATTTTTATTATTCCCTTGTGTTTTACCTCCTCCAAAGGTTGCAATTCATTACTACCTGTGCTAAATATTTTGGAGGCAGCAAAACAACAGAAATAACTAAAGCTCTGGATGATTAGAGATGCAGTAACCATCATCAACACTGAAGTATATAAGGTTAATCATGGTTGATTCAAATAAGATTAAAAATTCCAGGAAATTGCGATGAATTGGATGTGCCAAGTCACTGCTAAATCTGGACAAATTAATTTTAACATAAATTATTCCTTGATCTTAATTCTTTCTGGTTTGGGGGGTTTAGTTTGGGGTTTGGTTGTGTTTTTTTTTTGTTTCGTTTGCTTGTTTTTTGTTTGGGTTTTTTTAATCACTTATTCTGTCAATGTTTCCCAGTTGAAGGAAAACTGTACAAAGCCACTTCACTGTTCAGGCTGTTCACTTGCACTGTGATTTCTGATACAATCTTTGTGATAAATTCTGTATAGTTCTGATGTTCTGATCTTAACCCGGTCTCATTAAAGCTTCTAGCAAGAACTTCCACATTTATAATGTAAGCAAACTTCTTCTGCACCATATTAGTTTACGCCTTAAGAAGAAGAGTATCCACTGTTCATTAACATCCTTGAGAAAGAGACCTTAACATTTGCTAACTTTTTATCAAATTTAATTCAGAATTGTAAAACCAGATCAGATTAGCACAATCCACCAGTCTGACTTTCATAATAAAGACCATGAAAACCTTATCCTGTGATTTCTTCATCAAGGTAATTGATGTATTAATTCCTCACTATTAACAGCTCAGTTTCAGCAAGTTCTTGGCACAGCTGTTTTCACAGCCCCTCAATTTATTATGTGGATACAATAGTGGCACCAGACATGAAAAGTCACATTTTTACATGCCTAGTGAAAAATTTATTTCATTGATAGTATCTACACAGTCCTTTTACTTGTGTTTGCTTGCTTCATTCTAGCTCCAAAATGAAACGTATACACTGTATGAAGAAGGGGCAGAAATTAATGACCTCCAAAAAATAAATGACATGATGAGTCATCTAATATCATTAGGCACTTGGATTTGTCAAGTGCAGAACATGGAGAAAATGACACAGCTAAGAAATTTACTCAGAGAACATCTACCGCTTGCACTGACCCACAGCGCAGAGATCTCTCAAGAATCTCTACACAAGCTGGTACCAAGACTGTGGGAACCATTACAGACACTGACACTGCTGTCAGCAGCTGGCTGTTACACTTAACCCAAAGACACCATATTTAGGTGGCTAGATTACCTGGGAGCCTCAAGGCAGTCCTTGTGCCATATTTTCTTTTATTCTGCAGGGACAGTGAGTCTAGTTGTAGGATCTGTAGCACCACCCTCTTACCCCAGAGTCATCAGGTATGCAGTCCTGCAGATTTCAGAAAGACTGTTTGCACTGGTAATGAGCAGCCTGTTCTTACGTATTTGCTTGATTTGGAGACTAAATCAAGAATGCTGCCATAAAGTTAATGAACAGCAAGTGCCAGTCAACTACAGATTTTTTCAAAGGAAAGCCTGCAAAGTGAAACAGATGCCCTCAAACCGTCTGACTGCAGATAGACTAAGGGGATTTTAGACCAGGTGGCTACAGATAGGGTGAGTAATCAAAGACAGCAGCCTTAGTAAAACTAAGCTATTTTAAAAAGCTTTACTTATTTTCATCCATCGCTGATTTTCTTTTTCCCACAAGATGAATTAATTTTAAATTAGTTTGTCTCTGCAATGCAGAGGAATGTGTTGCTGCAGGAGGCACAAGCAGGCTTATCACTAGCTGCTATGGAAGTACATAGTTACTTAAAGAAGTTCTCAGTGGACCCATAATACTACTAAACTGGAGTAGTAGATTGGTGAAGGAATAAAACTGGAAAGAAAACCATCATAAGTGCAACAAAAAACTGCCTCATCTGCAGAACAAGCAATACAAAACAGCACTAGAGGGTCACTGACTGATAGCCAGCAATAGCCCTAATGCCCCCAGCAAACTGGGAGTCAAAAGCACCTGAGTAGAAGTAGAAAAAAACTTTAAGTGATTCTTACCCTATACAAGAAAGATAATTTCTGTAGAATAGAAATTGTTTCTATTTGTTTCATAAATACCTCAAGTTGTAGCAAAACATGAGTTTAAAACTGTGGGTGTAATTAATACATCATCTAATTTCTGAATACTTGCACATTTAAAGATCAAGATATGGCATTTCGTATTCTCAGTTCCTTTTTCTATTCTAGAGAATTTTCTAACTCCCTCTGAAAATAACAGGGACAATTTGAAACAAGCTTCTGTCTTTGCTTTTTTTTGTGGATTTACCAATGCATTTTCATAGCAAATCATGTTTTTATACTACTAGCTTCCTTTCTAAGCCCTTGAGCTACTGTTCAACTACATGCTTCTCTCTGGAACTACTGAGCCCCACACTACAAACCAAAACTGAAAGTAGGTGGATGTAAACACTTGTATCAGAGTACCTGGTAGGAATTCCAGTGGCAAAATCATTAACTTTAAGAATCAGTAGTTTGTAAAGTTGAATTATGTTGGTCATCTAGAGGTACTTTGCTATATCTGTACTAGCAATATCCTGCCTCTGCCTTACAAAGTTTGCCTTTGTGAGAAGTATTTTAAATGAAAGCAGATATTATATTGAAAGTACAGTTAAATTAAAACTGTACTTTCTTTCCTACAGATTAAAATCTGTAGGAAAATGCATAAACCCATCAAGCACAACTTCTAAAGTGTGCTTTCCCTGTGGCCTGGCTTATTAGAAAAACAATGCCAGTCTAATAAAACCTTGCTTACCTATCAGCTAAATCTGCTGCTAACAACCAAGTCAGTAGCAGTGAACATGACACCTTTAAGTCTTGAAATCCTATTAACTGTGACTGTTTCAGTTAATTAATAAAGAAAATGGGTTGTATCTGTTTCATTATCAGAGGATGGTTCTAAGCAGTGCAAGCACTTCAGAGGACTAATGATGTATTAAGAGGACTTATTAACGTGCAAAGTGCTCTCAAACACTTTGATAAAGCCTCCAGACAATTTCACATTCTCCCAGTCACAGTGTCCCACTCCTTATCCTTAACCTATGCTTTAGCAATGTATTTACTTATGTATTCAATCTCTGTTCATTGCAGCGATCGTAGCTGCTGCCCCCAAGTTTTTCATGTTGCAAAGAGATTCTGGACCTGTTACAAAGATACCACTCAGAGGCCTCCAGCTACAGCCTAGAAACTAGAGAAAAATAAGGAATACACTCAACTGTATTCATCTCCTGAGGGAGCAATCTCAGCAGCAAACACTGCACCTGTGCTCTCAAGAGTGTCTGGGCTCCAGAAAAGAAGAGTCTAACCTTGGAACTAACCTATCACCCTATGTTAAACTGTGGATGTCTTTTTCGTGTCTTGAAGCCCAGTTTTTCAGGTTGTGCAGTGGCTGTGGAGAAGTGTTACTTAATCACAGTGGAATGAAATCAGTATTTTAGAACTCTAGTTTTGCAAATAGCTAATCTCTAGCTTTCTGCCTTCACCCTCTGGGTGATGCTATGCTTCTGCAAGCAATCTTGCAGCAATCTTTTGGGATTTCATTCATTAGGGTTTGCAAAATACTTTGAGACTCTCAGGATGCTACTGAATTCTAAATATCTGCTTAATTAGCTCTGTTCAGAAGTTACTTTACTCAGTCAAGCTGAAAGATCAAAAAATATCATAGAAAGGTAAACTGCAGAACAGAACAAAACAAAATCAATTTGGAGATGGTTAAACACCTCCTTATTTCTCTGTGGAGAAGGCTTATTATATCACTTCTAAAGTATATGGCTGTCAGGGCTCCGTGGACATCCCCCCTTCAAGGGCTGGAGTGTGGGTAGGGAGGACCTGATACAGTCACTGGTGACCTAGGATTAGGTTTGGGGACAGCCTCTGAGGGGCCTCTCCTCTATCGACTCCGTTAGTTCACCATAGATTTCCTTCATCATTATTAGCTGTATTCATGTCATTAGATGCTTTTTTTCCCCGCATTAACAGTGCTAGCACTTCACTGGCCATTATGAACTCAGCAGAGTTTTTAAAGTATGTGTAATTCCAGGTGTCCAGCCTCCTTGCATTTTCACTCTGGTTCTTCCCTGGGCATTAAACCTTCCATTATTCAGTCCAGTAATTTTTACCCTCTTTATAAATTCAGGACAATCTCCTGACATTTTCAACAAAAGGTCATCTGAAATACACATGGTGTTCCTTGTATTGCCTGACTTTACCTCTAAAGGTCCTCCAGAGCTAATGTTGTACTTGTTATCTATTTACTCATTATGTTGTGCAATAGGCCTTTGATCCCCCGCTTGTCTGTATGCCAGGGCTGTCTCCCATGAGGTAGCTCTAGGGTGGCTTTCCTCTTTTCCATTCCTTTCTAATTAAGCTGGACATGTTTTCAATATCCGTCACTCTAAATACAGTTACAGTGTATTGCATAAAATGCCACAGCTAGGTTCAGTTATTAATCGCACATGACTGCAGCTGCAGGCATGTGGCCAACAAAACCAAGCAGCTGAATAATGAGCTGTGAGCCTTGTCACTTGCTGTACCTAAATTCCTTGCACCTTCCAGTTTTCAGGAAGCTGAGCACCTCTGCTTTGGGCAGCAGAGGCACCAAGGACTGCAGACTGCAGATACCATCCTAAAAATAAGTCCAATCCAAATTAATCAAAAAGACATTTCTCCACTTTTTTCGCCAGAGGGACTTTCAGATGTTCCCAGAACAGCAGGCTCCACACCAAATGCCATTTTTTAGTCTGCAAACCTTTTGTACAAAAACTCACCTGCAGATTCAGAGGTGGCCGCACCAATGTCCCTTTTCATAGTGAAACCTGAATATGTAACAGCTTCACTGTGAGATGAAAGACCTGGACTTCAGTCAAGGACTTAGCTCCTACCTCTTCATTTTTTATGCACTTTATGCAAGGACATGAACTGTCATTGCAACTGCACTTGAAATTCAAGTGATTCATCTCTTTCTTCTGTCATTTGAAAGGGCTTTTTAAGCACCTGCTTTACAAAATGTGATTACCTAGCAAGGCACTTACTTAAGCCCAGGGGAAGTCAAAGGTTTAACTTACCTTTTTCCAAGTAGAGTTAAGCAGGTTCCCCATGAGCTAATTTTGCAGATACCCCCAATCAAAGAGTTGGATCCTGAGAAACATGAGAAATACATGTATTTGTTCACACAGCATTTTTTCCACTAATGTTTAAAGTATTGTTATTTTCCTTTGCAAGAAGGAAGGCGTTAGAGAGCTACCACATCCTGAATTCCTACTATATGTTTCTGTGGGGAGAAGATCTCTCACACGACACTTCAGTGGAATGGGATTCAGTTACATCTGGTGATGGTCTTGCACACAGACTTTCAGTCAAGTTTCCAGCACTCACTTTAAAACTGAATGTGGCACAAATTTGTCTGCCGTGACATTTTTTAATACAGCCCAGTCCTCACAGCAGGAAAAGGCAATCATCCTGTGAAAGAGTGAAGTCTGTGCTTAATACAGATTTTAAAAGCTTGCTTCCCCAAGCCCCAGCACTTATCTACCACTCTATGAGCAGAAAGCAGGAATCTCTTCTCCTTTGTTATAGCCGGGGCTCTTTATGTGCTCTGGGAAAAACTTCTAGGAAAGACCTTCTTCTGGTTTCAGTGATGTGACTCTGAGCTGAGGTCAGTGTTGGTACTACTAATAATTATGTTGCTATAGGTTTAAAACAAAGTTAAAGAGTGTTTTCTGGTTTCTTTTGAAAGGAAGAATGTCTTGGACAGATTCTCCTGACTTTGAAAAGTGCAAGGAATCTGTGAAATAGAAATAATAGGAGGTCAGTGTAAGGTTATCTCAGCACTATGAACTGTTGGAATACAGAAATTCAGTGATTTAGGTCCTCAAAACCCATGACTCTTTCCACAGGGCAGTTCAGAGCAAATCTATGGAAAACAAAAGGCATAATACAAAGACAATAGGTATTTCTGGGGTCATTTTTCAGGGTAGGTGAAATAGGCACAAAATTTCAGTGCAAGATGCAAAAGCCAAAGAAAAAGCTAATTTACAGGCAACACCACTTATTGTTTGCCACAAGTGACTGTGTCCTGCTAAAAACGGCAATCCAGAGAGAAAAATTAATCCCATTTTCTTTGTGGGTTTTTGTTTTGTTGTTGTTAATTAGGGCATTTATGCAACAGGCCATCAAAAAAAAAGGTTCATTTGGTGCCTTTGAAGTCATCTGGATCCAGCATACAAAGTTCCAGTCCTCATCTTGCTTTAATTGGGTATAAAAGTAGCCTAATTGAAAGGAGAGGAGTGATGAATCACCATCTGGAAGTATCTGCACAAATGACATTCTTACCACCCTTCTCAAAGCAATGATGTGCTTCTGGGAGATGTTTGTTTGTGCCTGAACTTGGGGTGCCCTCAGAGCATGGCTGGGACACACTGCAAGGCTCTTCCACCTTCTGTGACAAGGCTGCCTTCCTGTCAGAGGTAGGGAGATGGAAGGTGTGTCTATCAGATGAGTTCTGCTACAGAGCTAGGACTCAGTCAAGGCATATACTTGGGCCTGGAAACACAGAAGCACTCCCAAGCACCATATTTTTGGCATGTTTTATGGGCTGATGTATGACCAAAGCACTCACCATTGAAAATGTAACACTATTTAGAACACAGATAGTTCTTATGAGTATTTGCAGAGAGGGGATTCTTTTAGAGATGTCAAATTTTCCAAATTAGGGAGCATGCTGTACTAAATGAAAGTGTATTGTTACACACTGTTAAGAATAGAATAAAGAACAAAGCATGCAACATAGTCTGGCACTGTGGAAATTTAGTTTTCACCTATATGTGGATTACTATATGCCTATCTGGTTCCCGTGAGTCAGAAAGAATATGGTAGATCCAGGACATGAAGGCAACAAGATATGAAAATACCAGTAGGGATTAAATAGGCTAGGATCCTTGGCTGGAAAAGAGAAACTTTATAATGGACTATAAGGGAGCAAGATAGTAAATGGGAAAGGGAATAGGGACCAGTTATGTCTCTTCTTTACAACATAAGGGCTCTGGGGCATAGACCAAAACTTCCAAGTAGATGTTTTATAAGAGAAAAGAAAGTCAATTTTCCATACAACATATTTAAACTGTGAAACTTACTGTCACAAGATATTGCAGATGAGTATAAAGAGATTCAAAAGGGATTAGATAAATTCTTGTTCAAAATTGATTGAGAGATATCAGTCACAAAGCTGTAAATATAGCCAACTGCCCAGGAAGTCCCTAAACTATAGCTTGCTAGAGGATCTAAGGGTATTCTAGAGGATTACCATGCTCATACCCAGACTTTGTATAATTCCTCTAAGCAGCTGTTCTTTATTTTGATGGAGACCCTTCACTCTCTGTGCTCAATATAGCCAGTCACAGATTCTTAGTGCTTTTTAGGCAAGCAGCTCAAGAAGAGACTTGAACTATTTGTTCTGTCACACCAATTCACTATAGTTTTTAAAAGCTCAGGATGCAAAAGGTACTTGAGGTTCTTTTCTTCTACTTCAGGTTTAGAGCATTGTTAATTTGTTCACGGAAGAAATTTGTGAGAAACAAGCTGCAAATTGGAAAGTAATGTAACAAATAACTGGATAACAGAGCAGAATGATTAGAGAAAAATAAACTATACTTCCTCGCATACGTTTTGCTTGTTTGCGATTGTACTCTGTGTCTGGGAGTAAGAACTCGTACACATGTAGGCATGTATGTAAGTATTGACACACATACACATACCTCAGCTGCTTCTTTTCTGTCCTGTATGAAGAGCAAGCTGTACCCAAAATTCCCACAGGTTATGACACATGATAAGATTAAAAAAGGCAGGAGAGCATCTCAGCTGGAAATAATCTACCACAGAGACTTATGCATGGCTCTGTCCATAATGTGGGGATCTCCATTTCCACACCCATGTTCCCATATCTTATTCACCCACTCAGTGTAGTAAGAAAGGCACTGGGCATGCAAACCAACACAGCTGAAGACTGGAACCACCCACTGCAATCCCTGACACAACAGTGGTCACCACAAGCTGGTCTTCTGTGCAAGAAGCTAACCAATTAAAGAAGGATTTACTGAAGAGAGGCAGGAAGATTCCAACAAGGCATTGGAGACTGTTGTGGCTTAAACCCAGTCGATAACTAAGTACTACGCAGTCGCTTGCTCACCCCACTGGGCAGGATGGGATGGAGAACTGAAAGAATGTAAAACCCACAGGTTGAGGTAAGAACAGTTTAATAACTGAAGTACAATATCATACTAATAATAATAATGATAAGGGAAATAAAAAAGATAGAGAATATAAAACTAAATGGGGAAGGAAGGAAAGAAAACTGCACAATGCAATTGCTCACTGTCCACTGACTGATACCCAGCCCAACCCAAGCAGCAGTCAATCGCTTCTGGCCAGCTCCCTCCAGTTGATATCCTGGGCATGATGTGCTGTGGTAGGGAATACGTCTTTGGCTACTTTGGGTCAGGTGTCCTTTCTCTGCTTCCTCCTGGCTTCTTGTGCCCCTCCTCACCGGCAGAGCATGAGACTGAAAAGTCCTTGATCAGGGTAAGTGCTAGTTAGCAACTACATGGTGCAATGACAGCCTAGAAACTAATTGTTTCATACTGGTTTTTGACAGCAAATTTCATACTTACACGATGCTCGCTTGTCCCAGTCTATCAGAACACCTAGTGTTTTCCAAATTCTGGTAGAAGTGAAAACATGTTAAATGTTGCTTTTATTCTGCAGCTAAAGAGGAGAAAGAAACAAATTTAAACATGCCATGTCCTCACAGAGGTGTGTATTTTATATGCATTCCTATAGTAAACAGCTTGGGTTTTTTTTGTTGTTGTTTTGGTTTTTTTTTTCTGGAGCCATTCTAGTCAGTTCTTGAAAATACTCTCATTTCTCCCTTAAATTTTCATCTCCCCACCTGTAAAGCTTATAATGAGGATGTGATGCTGACACCTACAGGAACATAAGTATGAATGTAAATACATTGTATTAGTCAGTAACCCTCGGATTGTGTTTCTTTGTAAGGCATCTGTTTAAACTGAGAAGTGAAAGCCTGTAATGCAATTTTCCCTCTGAATATAAGGCTAGCAGACACATTACAATGAATAACAAATAACATTGGGTTTTCCATCAATCCAGTTTAATAGTTTCTTCATATGTCTGTGTTTACACATCAAATAAACTTCCAACAAAAAAAAAAGGTAATGTACAATTCAAGAAAATACCCAAAGCTATTACAGTTTTGGCTTCCCTTTTGTTGATTTACAATTATGTACAAGACCATCTTATTTGCAATACCCAGTGAAGATTTCATGATTTATTTACAACATCAGCTGGTGCCTTTCACTACACAATTGAATCATCTCCTTTTGCTATCGACATTCATAGTAGGAAAAGCCCACTCTTAGGTGCTATATATGGATAGGGTTAAGAGGTGTACTGAAACAGGGCAAGATTCTCACTACTGACCACACACATACCTAAAATCCAATTTTTAGGCATAGCTGAAGGAAGATTCCAGCTCTTAGTGCACTGATACAACCTTTATATTTACAGTCAACATAATATGGTGTCTCCACCGAGAACAACATTTCCACTCATGTCTGAAGGAGATATGGGTGAGCTGGAGGTGGTATATACTTTAAGGTGCAGCAGACAAAAGATATAGCTCTAGTGCTAAATACGCACCTTACCTATCCTGCCAGAAACCTCTAAGCAAAAGAAGACATAAAGTATGTTATCTTCCTAAATGTGTGGAGGAGAAGATCTTACAATTCTTCTTACAAAAGAGATAATATTAGGTGGGATGAAAATCATAATTATAATTATCATAATTATGATTATCATAATTATAAACTGTTTCTTAGAATTACAGAAAAACTTGGGTTGGAAAGGACCTGTGCATCATCTATTCCTAATTGCTCAAAACAGGGCCAACTTCAAAGTCAGTCAGCTTTTAACTTGGAGCAGATTGCTCAGGGCTGTATTCAGTCAAGTTCTGAATATCTCTGAGGATGGAGACTGCACAACCACTGGGCACCTGTACCCACATTTGAACACCCTTATGGTAAAAAAATTTCCTAATGCCTGATCAGAACTTCTACCTTGAAGGTATAGCCTGAGCCTCACTGAATCAATTGTAGTCCTTCCATTAACAACAGTTTTAGAGCATCCCGAAACCAAGGGTTTAACAACAAGAAAAACAAGGGGCATTCTTTCAGCTTTTCAGAAGAAATAATTCATTTTTTCCAAGCAATTTTCTAATATCTAGTCAATAGGGAACCACTGCTTGAAATATTTTCATAGCTTATATTTCAGTGCAAGATATGTACCATACAGTGGCATCAAGGAATAATGCCACAGCTGCACTTCCTTCATCTGTGATAAATCAAATATTTTGTACATTACACAGCTATTGCAAAAACAGCATGTTTATGAGAGTATGACTACATGTAAATTACTCACACAAAAAGCATGAGGGTTTCACCTTGGAATTGTATCAACAAAGGCAAAAAATGTTTGTTTGAGGAGCAAAAGTCAAGACTCTCTGTTATAGCTACATGTGCCTGAGGTTCTGAAATTCCTCTTTTGCCTGCTATGCTTTCTGATCATCAAACTTGTTTTGTCTCTCTCAGCTTGAAAAATGCAATCTGCAGTATAGCTTCCTCCAATAAGAAAAGCTACTCAGCTGAAACGCTTTTCTAATGTCTACATAAAAGCAGCCACTCACCCAATATTTCCATCTCCACAAAAACATTACATGACTGTGTAGAGGCCATGTACCCTTTACTCCCCTAGCTGCAGTGAATAAAGAAAACAGAGAAACTAGAATCTGTCCAGTATTCATATTCAGCCTTAAAATTCACCTATGGTACATCTCACCCCGGAGTGATAAGAATACATATAGTCAGATATGACAGAGTACTGTATCCAACCAGGAACCTCATGGTAACACTGTTCTCTTAAATAATACATATTTTATGACAGTTACAATCATGACTGGAATACAAATTGCTGATATGCGCATGTATATTGGTCATAACTGTTGAGCAAGGTATGTAAACTCTGATAATTGGAGCTACCTCTCAGATTTTCAGTCTTCAGAAGGAACTAGCACAAAAACCTGTTAATTCTGGGCATCAAAATAAACCATGTTGTATCTAGAAAGACAGTATCAGAGAAACACACTGAGAAGTTAATGGGGTCATTTGCATAGCAGGTCACACTCCTTGCATTTAGCAGAAAATAAAACAAGGCTTTCCCTGTACAATCCTCTTAAAAGATCCAGTCTTCAGTAGGGTAAATGAGATTCAAAATATTCTTTCTCCCCATATTACAGGAGCACTGAGTAGCTCCTGCCGCCAGTATGAAAGAGGCGTGTGGAGGGAAAGAAAGGCAAAAACACATTAAAAAATGGTTTCTGATTGCTACAGAATCATGACAGCTGAATGGAGAAAGATATTCCATAGGCATTTCAGCAGAATTACAAGGTGTGGCAAGATGTTGAATTTTCATTCTCTCCCCTGGTTTGGTTTTGTTTTCTTAATATTTGTTTGATAACCCACAGACTATCCTCAGGCTATAACAACAAATTATCTCTTTGAAGGTCTTCCTCATTTCATGGCTACGAAAGGCATAGATCAAAGGATCAATCACTGAGTTGCACATAATGAGAATGAGGTACATGTTGAAGTGAGACATGAAGCAAACACAGTAGAGGTTTTGAGGGCAGGAGATCATCAGGATGAGATGAAGGAAGAATGGAGCCCAACAAACAATGAAGATGCCAAGAAGCATAGTCAGAGTGATGGCTCCTTTCATGCTGGTTCTTTGACGCACAGAGTTGTACCCAGGCAAAGCAGCTATTTTCTTCACATGAGTACGAGCCAGGAGGAACATATGGATGTACAATGAGACCATGAGGAACAACATGGTAAAAAACATAGTGATGAGACAAATGATCACATAAGTTGATTCATAATAAAGAATGAAGATAATGCCACAGCCTGTGCAAAAGGTCCAGATGCATGCAATAATAAGCCCTGATCTTTTCACTGTCATGATGTTGTGATAACGCAGGGCATAGAAGATAGTGATATATCTGTCTACTGCTATAGCCAGCAAACTGCACATGGAAGCCACCACAGATATGCAGATCATTGAATCGAAGACATTGTCTATATGACGAACAAAGGCATCTTCTATAATAATGTGTCTGTTGTTTATTAAGTATATTGTTATGGTCTCCCAGGCATTAGACACACTAACCAGCATGTCAGCCACTGCTAAACTGCAAACAAAAAAATACATGGGTGAATGTAAGTTCTTGTTCTTAATTATTGCACATATAACTAAGATATTTTCAAGGAGGCTTACAATGCCCAGAGTTAGGAACACCTCAGCAGCAATAACCACTTGTTCACATGGTGATGACTTGCTCTTCACAGTAGGCACAGTAAAGTTGCTATCAAAGGCACTCAGGTTTAGTTCAGAAACATATAGTTCAGAGGATGTGTTCATCTCTGGAAGTAAACGTGTTCTGTTCTTTCTGAGGGACTTGCCAAGGAGTGTGGTAAATGCATTTTCCAAAAGGCAAAAGACCCTGCCAAAAAAAATATAGCATGACAAGAACAGGCAGAAGTTGACAAAACAAATATCACCTATTTCTATGTAATTTGGCTTGCACGCATCCTGCCACTTTCACACCATATTCCTCTACTGATTCTACATTAACATCTGATTGGCTCAGTTTTTCTACCCATACTTACTGGGAAATTAAAACCACAAACTAATGAAGAGACTCATGTACTCTTCATTCATAGTTTTGTTTATTCTATGTGATCCCTTGGCATATTCTCAGAATGTGCTGGAAATTAAACTGAATGCCAAACAACAAACAGTTTTCTAAGTCCCAATTCTCAGACCACAGAAATGCAGGACAATAAGGTATTAGGTTGGGCATAGCTTGCTTGCTTGAATACAATACATAAAAGTTTGAATTATTGCCACAGTTAATAATTGAACATTTTCAGTAAAAGATTTGAATGTTTTCCGGACATTTGTACTTATTAAATTCACATGAACTGTATTATAAACAGCTTATCTGTGCAAAACTAACATGCCCACTTAAGAGCATAGTATTAAAAACCTAACCAAGGCACATCCATACATTTCAGAATATACTATAGTTACAGAATTGGTATGGGTGGAATTCTATCATAAAAGATAAGTTTTCTATTCCAGATCATGAGTATTTCATTCAGTGCTTTTTTGGTAATGACAATATCCGGGGAAATCATAAGCTATCAGACTCTTAATCAGAACACTTAAAGCTGATTGTCAGTGACTTGTTGCAAATAAAATTCAAAGCATATCATAGAATCATACAACAGTTAAGGTTGGAGAGGACCTTAAAATTAAGCTAAAAAAAAATAGTTTTTAAAATTAACCTTTCATTTGCAATAAAGAATTAACTGTACCTATTTACCAGAGCTGCTGCTTTAGCTGCTCTTCTTCTTCATCGCCTGCAACCTTTCCTCCAGAGAGCAGAAGTTTCAGCCCCCCTTCTCACCCAACATCTGAGACTGGGGACTCCTTGGTTGGAATAGATGACAGAAATAGAAGAAAAGAAACGAGTAAATCCATAGAGTCAAGGCTGACCACGTATAAATTACTTACTGTGCAAGTGCCTTTTTATAGACTCCAAGCAATAATGACTTCAGTACTCAGACTGTGGCTCCTCCTCCCCTTCTTTGCCCCTCTGAACTTCTCTTTTCACAGATTTACAGCAAAGGCCTGGGGCTTTACCACCATCTAGTGGTCTTCTCTTGTCTGCCTAACTGAACAGCGATTCTGACCTGAAATCCATGATGAGCTTTTTATATATTAAAAGGGAAAATGCACAGGCATGCTCCTTTCAAAACGTCTCTTTTTTGGTTTCTCTGCTGTTTCTAGTACTCACTAAGTTCATACTGCAACAGTACTCCAAAATAGGTGAGAGAACACATTGAAGTGGGAGGCTTTTTACTATTATAAGCATTTGTCTTACATTCACAGTTATCATTTTGCAAGAATCAAAACCACACTGTTACAAAACTCAGAGAAAATACAGTCAAGACTGTCACACCACAAACAGAAGATATAATTCAAGTAATCTGGGGGAGACGGGAAAGAGCAAATAAAGGTTTGCGTTCCAGTCTCCTTGCTAGAACTAAGATTTCCGTGCAGACATGAAAGGAGCACACAGTACACTGTGCCAGGAGCCAGGGCTTCCCAACATGGATGTGAGTCCCCTAGTTTTTACAGGGTCTAAGAGCTGGTAAACTCAGCACCCAGTGCTGGAATGGCTGAAGTCTCTCTGTGGGTCTGGCAGTCAGGTAAACAACGATCATTCTGGGCCTTACTCAAAAGGTGGCAAAATCAGTGTAAATCTTTTCTTTAGATAATGGGCTCTGTTTCTGCATACAGACTGAGGAATGCAAAGCACACACCTTCCTGGCACTGCCAAAAGCCCTTTATGCTATCCACTAACCAGCCAGTCAAACACTATGCAGCATTTGAAGTTAACATGAAATAAAAAATCCCTGCTTCTCCAAACCACTGCCTTTCCACATACTAGGAGGCTGGATTTTTTTTTTTTTTTTTTTTTGGGGGGGGGGGGCATATAGCAACTTCAAATGCTTATTTTTAACCTATAACATTTTTCTTAAAAGAATTACCAGCAACAAACACAAAGTTTATTGCTGTATCTTGTGTCATTTTTGTGTTTTCAGTATTCAGATAGAGTTTATCACTTCAATGCAGCTAAATCCGTATTTCTTACTATTATATTCCACAGAAGGTTCCTCTATTATTGCTACTAGTTTCACTCAAGGGATGCTGAATAACCTAGGCCATTGTATAAAATGTTCTTATGTACAAATAGTCCTTGTACCAAAGGACACCGTGAAAAGCATTTTTGTTCATTTGAGTAAAATGACTCCTCTAGCATTATGCAGTTATAGTCTGCACATGAACTTTGCATGTCCCTTCTCCCCACTACTGGAAAGAAAATTTAGATTACTACAAACTAGAGGCAGCAAACTATGCTCAAGTACAGCTGTTAGATCTGAGCTGATAATGCAAACTAGTGAACAGCAACACTCCCTGTTGTGTCTCACCTGTGCGCTAAATCTGAGCTCATAGTTCTTTGCTGTGCCCAAAAGAAATGAATGGAGGATGCCCATCTGCAGTTTTCTTTCTGTTCTTTAATGTGAGACATGTTTTAGTTCTCCTAGGTTATCTTTAGTTAGCTTAGTTACCTTCAGTTATCTTTTGTATAGGTTTTGGTTTTCCCATTGCAGACCCTGAAAATCATATATCTAAAAGTACAATTTTACTTCTTTCAGCATCCCTGTATCTATCAACAACTGTGCAGACATTGTGCTATTCCCACTTACAGTTTTTTCTCTTGCAGTATCCTTTTTTGTTTATTATATTCTGTTTTATCTTCCCATTTCCAAATCCATCTGTATGTTTAGTTTAATAAAGTCCTTTGCAGCCCAGTTTAGCTGCCTTTACAAAAGTTCTCACTGTACGTGGCAGGACTCAGTTGATCAGCCGATTACATGATTACAGGAAATAAATCACACATCAGACTTGATGGTGCTATTCCTCAGAGCAATGCCAGGGCTCTCACACCTAAATTATGAATCAGCCTTTGGATTCTTCTTCCACAAGTCAGACACCACAGGCATAAACTCTGGTACAAGTATCTACTTCCTTATTTACAAAGTTTGCAGAAAAAATACCTGCCTGGAAGCTGGGGTAGTGATAGAGATGTAGTTTGTTTATGTCAGAGGATGAGATGAAAAGACATTTTTGGTTTTTTTCTTTTCTTATTCAGAAGAGAATTTATCGTTACATTGCTACATCAAGTAGCTGTAGGCATTATGGTTTGACAAGCAAGCGACTGAAGGGACACCCAATCAGCATGCCTCCACCCAGTAAGTATTTCAAGTAAAGAAGTACAGGAGCAGGTCTTTGGATTCTCTTAGGAAAATCCAAGAGTGGCTTCACCTTCCAGCTGGAGGACTCCTGGCTGAATAGGCTGGTCTTTCAGATATGAATATCTGGTCTTGGTGTTCAGTTCCCTTATTTGTTCAGTTAAATGAATTCTCTGTCTCCACAGACAGATTGGTGCTAGGTGTTTTCCAAGGCCACAAAGATCATGACTGGACTGCCAGTGTGGGCAAACAGTACTTCATGCATTGTAAAACCTGTGTTGCTATTTAGCTATTGGGCTGTACTGACACATCCCAGGACCCAACCCTGGAGTGAACATCAAGTAGGCACCCTGAGGAACGCACTGAAGCCCTTGCCTTGTTCTCAAACCACCATTTTCTTTCCACAGATGGAAAGAGGAAAAAAGGATGGACTGCAGGGTTTGGAGAGTAGGTGCATAGATCTCCCTGCAGCTCAGAAAAAAGCACAGCTGGGTCATACACCAATAAGCCTGGATCTGAGATCCATGGTCATCCCAAAAGCAGTGCTAAAGCTGTATCTTTAGGAAAAGGTGCTTTGTTCTGTACTTCATGTAATCTCTTATCTGGTGTAAGGAAGATGCTGACTGCTTAAAGTCTCTATTCCAATGAACTCACCAGGGCTTCAGGAAAAAAAAGATCAAAAGTGCCCCATAGGCACATCAGTGAACATAAGAAAGAAGTAAAACACAATTCCAGCAGAAAAAGAGACATCAGGGTCTGCTTTGGTCCTATGCCATTTCTTTCCATTGTGAAACAGTAAGAGATGAGAAAGCTGCTCCAGCCATGTATCTGCCTCACAGGCTTCATCAGTGACCAAAATGAGAGCCATGACAAGGTCACTGACAGAAACACCCAGCCCCTGCCTACCACCAGCACCACCAGCAACCATGTCAAAGCTCCCCCTCACACAGCATGTCTGCTGAGACAGGAGAGGCCATGATTACCCTGAGCTGTAGGCCAAATTATACCATGTCAAAACCAGCAGGAAATTGCCTGACATCTTCATGACAGCTAGATACTGATTTTATCAAAGAATGTATATGAAGCCAATAGTACAACATACCCTGAAGAAGTTTCTATAAGAAGAGCTTATTACACTCACGTGCATTCCTGTACTAATCTGTGCTAATCTTAACAGGTTCAGAGAAGAGTTTTACCGACTCTTATATTAATCTAGCCAACTTGTCCAGTGCTAATATATTGAAGCAATTTAATTCCAATGTCCTTCTGTAGCTTTTTTTATCTCTTTTATAGAAGTACGTTTGTCCTTCATAACATAGCTTTGGATTGGAGCTTTTGGCCTATTTATAAAACCTCTCTTCTGTCTTCTCTTTGCTTATGCTGTCATTAGCGTAGTATTTCAGAGCCACAGAGAATCCTCTCAGATTGCTCTAAGAATGAACCCATGGATCACCAGAAGTGAAGGTTGTGGCCTTCTCTGCATTTGAATGACATAACAAATGTTCTCTAACTTCCCAGACAGAAAAACTCTCTTAGCCTCTGTGCTGAGTAGCTTCGAGCCCTATAAAGGTCCCCACTGTTACCTTCCAGCAATACCATCCAGTAAGCTTTTACTGACGACAGAAAATTAACTGAGTTAAAAATATCAGGCAACAATACTTCCTGCCCTTAAATAAAAAAAAAAAAGATGGATGAAGTCGCCATAGACCCTTTGAAGTTCAGTCCCTTCCCTGTCCAGGGGACAGCTGAAAGCCTAAAAATTAGGGTTTGCAGTAAGCAGTGGTATAGTGAACACATTCTTTACATTGTGGCCCTAATCCTCAAATCAACACTTAAATTTTTTTTGCAGGAAGAATCACTAAAAAGCTGAAATCACTAAAAAGACTGAAAAAAAGACATCAAAGTATAACGAAAACCGTGCCCTGTTAAAGGGTAGGATCAGATATACTTAGTATCACTTCACTAGCACTTCTGGCCATAGCCTCTTTCATCTGAGTCTTTTAAAATGGTTTGAAACAATCTTTAGCCACTCTCAGTTACTACCTATAGCTGGTGCTTCTCGTATCAGAGTAGAAAGCTGAGAAAGAGGCAGGGCAGTGTAAAAGGCCTTGTAAAAAGACATATCCTAACAACCTAAACCAACCCCCTAAACTGGAAAAGGGTAATGAGGTTTAGTAACCATCATTTTTCTGCGCTTCTAATGGGAGGCAATTCCAGTAATGAATCTAGCTCCAACATTTTGTTAGAGCATGGGTCAGCAGTACAGATCTGGTGAATCATACAGAAATGCCAGCTGCAGACTCCATAAACAGAACAGAATAGAATGGAACAGAATGGAGTGGACTAGAATGGAGTGGAATTGAACTAATGGAATTGTAACAAAAGTGCTAGGCACACATTAGCTGAGAGGTGGACCTTCCAGTCACCCATTTAGAAGCAGATCATTCTGCTGCAGGCACTATTGAAGGTGTGCTCCAACATCTGCTCCCAGCAAGAACCAGCAGACTTTATTTGAACTCTTCTTGACAGAATCTAAAACGTAGCCCTCCCTAAGACCCATTTTGTTCTAGGTGGGACTAATGTGGAGCTCTCTGATTTTAACAGGTCTGCCGTGTGATGACAGCCTACCAAATATTTCCTTTGGCTCAAGAAACAGGGGTGTCTTTTCAATGACAGAATGGAAGGGCAGGGGGGAATGATTTCTGGCTTTTGTAGGCCACGGGTCTAAGCTCACTTCCCTCTTCCTTCCTGCCAGAC